TTCGCTCGTCCACCACGCGCAAAGCCCAGCATTCACAACCGTAAAGAATGACAGACCGGACAGATGCACAGTACACGCGAATCTTAGTGGCGATGGAGAGGTCAAGTCGGATCCATAGGTATTTCCGAAGGCGTGAGAAAACTCAGCGGGCAGCATCGATTCGGGAGACAATGTCGTCCTTACTCTGTCCATTAGGCAACAGCCTCGCCTGAGGTATTTAAAGCTGTCTACTTCTTCAAGTTGACAGCCATCAATCTCCAGGGGTGCCTTCTCCTTGTCAGGGATGCAGCTTGAGAATACCTTTGTCTTCCCAGCGTTTATGGATAAACCGACCGATTTAGCGACCTCGTTCATCCGTGACCCCATAGACTGCAGATCACCAAAACTTGAAGCAAGTAAGGCGATATCATGGGCATAGTCGAGATCAGTTAGTCGGTGTCCGGGTGCAAACTCAACGTCATTACCACCCAGTCAATAGAATAGTTGAACAGAATGGGTGACAGGATACAACCTTTTCGAACGCCAGACCGAATACCGAACGGTTGGAAAAGATTGTTGCGGACCAGGACTCTCGCAGTAGTGGAGCGATAATAGGCCTTGAACCGGTTGCGTTCGTAGTCTGCCCTCACGTAATCTACTCATGTTTCCGATTGGCCGCCTAGACGCAGTCACTAGCCCGCACCGGGTTCGGGTGAGTGGACGGTCTGGGCAATTTTGCTATCTGGTCAACATTTGTTCGGGCCATCGAAGTCGGAAGGCTACGTAAGTGCAGTGGATGAGGTGCGTTTTCGTACGTTAAGTTCATACTCGCGGAGGGAAGACGGGACTGTGTTTTAGCTTAGTGACGAATAATCCGGCACGCTCACGGGCGATGGATGGTTGAACAGTCCTCGGCGACGTTTAACTGCAAAACTGACAGGCTCTCCGGTCTGGCAAATAAGCTGTCGCGGACCACACAGCGCTTATGCCTCCTACCACTGCTGGATGCCAATTTAGTAGGTCGATTGCCTATAGAAAGGCCTCAAGCTATGGCGGCTACATGTCATTCATTTAAGTCCTATCTTCTGCCGTCTGGCACAATCTGGAGGCTGGTGGGTTAGACCATAGGATGGAGACGTTTACTACCGTTCGTCCCGCGCAACCACTGTTTGGTAAGTTATAATTAACGGGTTTGGGATGACCAGCGGGTTGTGGTCCTAGCGCCCTGCTTGGACATCCGAGAGAAGTGAATCCCTACCCAGCAAAAACCAGGCTTTCTTTACTCATTACTGAGTCCTCTGTATGACCCTATATGAACTGCGGGGGCAAAAAAGGTCGCGCACGCCCATTCGTTTATCTACGCACATTTATTGCGAGCTTACTTTTTACAGTAAAGGTTTCACCCAAGATATCAGAAGCCTTACCACCTACCTTGACACCGACTTGCAGCTCTTACACAAAGCTAGACTCCCGCATACCCACCGACACTCGGGCCAAATCAACAAACGCCACTATGAGGTGGTTTTGTATTTCAGTGATTGCAATTGAGAGCCTGAACCGGTGACCCAGGTCCAAATGGGGCCCCCTCGACCGCAAGATTGGGGTTCTCCTGTCTGTCAACGGAAAATGCGCCAGAAGTTGCACTTACTAGTGTTCTTATTTTTTTCTTGTTAAACCCATCCGCTGTCCACAGTTATTTTATCCACGTAATTTTTGCAGGCGGCCAATCTGTATAGGAGCCTTGTCCTTCAACATTCGAATGATATCCTTTCATTGGCCAATGCTGGGTGCTCATGGCCGAGGATGTGGAGACTAATTGATCTTGATCATCCCTGTGTGGACAGTTGTTAGCACGGAAAGACACTGGCAGGTCGAGTTGGCGTTTTCAGTGCTCCAGCTCCGATAAACCCATTTGTTACGTTTCAAATTACAAAGTCAACAGTCCCACCGCCATCCGAAACTGGATTTAGGCGTCGACACCATTGCAGGTGCCCCTAAACCTACGGTCTTATTGCGTCTCTTGAAGCAGAGAGTGCTAGTATCCGTTTCGATCTTGATAGGCCGAGTGGCTCCTCGGCAACGCTGCTGGAGTCAACTATTGTTATTCCGGGTATTTCAGAGATTAAGTCATTTCGGTGATGTTTGTCAGCCTCCGGGCGAGATCAATGGTTATAAGATGACCTTTTCAAGCCTGACATGACCTCTGGGTCTCGGGGGAGGGGAAGCCTACCCAGTGAATTCCATTCTGAGTACATCAACTAATAAATGAATTTGTTATTCAACTGCAGAGTTTGCCGTCAGGTTTTCTAATAGAAGCGAAAAAGCGCGTTCCTCTTCTCTCCCAGTGACGGTAATCGAATACCCAAGGTCCATATCTCGACAAAATATGTCAAGCCAGATTTTGAATTGGGCTCTCATTTGACGCTCCCAAGTGGACAGTAGCACTGAGTCGAGAGCAGTACCACCGAGCTCGTGAGGCAGACGACGAAGAACATGCCGAAACCATTCCGCTTGTTTTTTCATAGGTGGTCTTAGATATCCTCGTGATGTCGTAGCGAGGGCGGTCTGTCCCACTTAAGGATGGTCCTCAGGCAGCGGTGGTCAACCACCACCTTTCTCGCACAGCCCAACATTCACAACCGTAGAGGAGTACTTGGCCGGGCAGATGCACGGCGTACGCGAATCTTCGTAGCGAGCAAAATGTCACCTCGGGTTTAAAGACCATGTCTGAGTTTTGAGAAAACCCAGCGAGCAGCATCGACTCGGGAGCCGATATCGTCCTCAGTCTGTCCATTCGGCAACAGCCTCGTCCAGGGATATTTAAAAATGTCTACTTCTTCACGTTGGCAGCCGTTAATCCCAAGGGGTGCTTTCTTGTCAGGGATGCAGCTCGAAACGCTTTGGTCATTCCAGTATTCATGGATAAAGCAGCGGATTTAGCGACTTCATTCACTCGTTACACCACGTACTATATGTCACCAAAGTTTGAAGCTACGGTGACGACGTGCGAGTGCAAACTCGGTACCGTCAAATGGTATATGTCCCTTCCGAGAATCCAGTTAATGGCGTAGTTAAACGGAATGAGCCCCAGGATACAACTTTGTCGAACGCCAGATGGGATATCAAACAGTTTAGACAGACTGTTATGGACCAGAATTCGTGCAGTGATGCTGCCGAAGATTTTTGCCAGCACACAATCTAATTTCATTGTCCGCCACAGGAGTTCACGATTGACGAAATCAAAGGCAACGGCGAAGTTAACAAAATTGGTGGTCGTCGGTTGTTGGTAATCGTGGCGGAATTTATGATTTCGTCGCACTGTGGATATTTTATCTGCACATCCATGCCTATCACGGAACCCGTCTTGCCTGAATCTCATCCGTAAGTCACGCACAGCCCGGGATCGCCTGAGAAGGACAATGACATAGACCTTCGCGAAAGTGTCGATGAGACTTATGCAGCGATAGTGCGCGTAATTTATCTTATCTCTCATGATGAGAGGTACAAGGATGTCTGAGCCTCAGTCGTCACTAACGTTCTCAATCACCTCATGTAACCAGGGCGCCAATGTTGACAAAAGGCTTGTAGATTTCCGCAGGAATACCGTCCTCTCCGGGCGCCCTGTTTGTGCGCAGTCTCTGTATTTTATTAGTAATTTCTCTCTCAAAGGGAGGGGACCGCGTGAGGGAGAGATAAAACTCCCCTGCAGGGGAGAAGATGCGATGGGTCGTTCATCGAAGTCAAGATGCACGAAGTGCTAACGTCAACGCTCGATCTCGGCTGAATCGTCAACACTAAGGCCGCCGTTTGCATCGCAGTCAATCGGCGCAGACGGCTTTCCACTAACCTGGTGGATAGTTTTAGAGTGCCACCAACGTTTGAGGTCTGCCCCATGGATGTCGTTGTTTCAGTCCAATGTTTCTGCCGGTCATCTCTAGTCGACTTAATCATCATTTTCTGGGAGGGGTTAATCGTTGCGGGACCTGACTCGAGTCGTATGGACAGACAACCACAAAGTTCCTCCGGTGATCCAGTCACCGCGCATCTTTAGGTGGAATTTTCTCAGGTGCCCCATTGACGACTTCATTGATGACCGCTCCAGTATGAAGACTAACCTGGCCGCTGCTTTTTGGTGTGGCAAAATCTGCTTTCCTTTTGTAGGGTTGGTAACTGTTGTTACTCAACGTAAATCTAGTTTCAGACAAAGTGTCATTGTAGTCCTCTTCTGTTTACCATTTTAGCATCTACACTGTGCACGATGAAATCAAAGACAAGTCCTTTGAACTTAACCTAAGCTGGATCGGAGCTCGTAAGTTCCTCGTTTAGGTTATGTGTTCATATTCTAGCTACCAATGCACAACATGAACTTGTTCCACAAGACGTGTTCACTCAGGCCGAAGAGTATGCAAAGAAAGCCCTGGAAGAAGCCGACGACCTCGATGAAGAAATGGAATAAAAGCCCACTTGTGGTTTCAATACTTTTGCAAATAAAACCCTCCAACTATCCCTTGGTGTGTGTCGATTAACTTTCTGTTTTCATTCCGGACCCGCACTTCATCTCACACGGGGCTTCGCTAAGTAACTGAGTAACTTTGTTTCGAGAACTCATGTTTTCATCTCAAATAACCACCCTTTTTGAATCCACAATTAACTGCATCCTCGAAAAGCCCGTTTTAACTGTCTCTTGAACTTTTTTATACCAGTTATCAGCTCCGAGTGTGTGCAGAGGATGTTCAACGCCGTGCGGTTTCCCTCGTTTTCTGGAATGCCAGACGACGGAACACGTAACTACCATGTATTCGCATCCGTTCTTTTGGCCTTCACATCCACATATTTCCCCTGCCGTTGTAGCTTGATCGATGAACATCTCTTCCCACAATAGTTAGTATTTCAGATCGCAACCGGCGAGACAACGGACCCATGGCTTAGTGGTGAGGTGTTGGACTTAACGCTTAGTGCGGGTTCGGGCTACGGCTTATCTAAGCCTGGATTAGATGTATGGCTAGCTAACGACGTCTAGTAAGCCGGGAACGGCCATCCCGGTCCCCCATGTCTTTGCTATACGATTGCCTTGTAGGGCACTACAAGGCGTCCTAATACACATTGGCACAAGCATGTTCCGCACTTTAACTACATCGAGCAGCTCTCTTACGCTGATATATCATGGCCATCCCTTTGCGGTGAAGCACTTGCCCTTTATCGATCCACACTCCTTGTCCTAAGCACATGCACCGACCGTAAAAATCAAACCTGCTAGTGACAATTCCCGCCCCTCGTGTCTAGGTAGCGAATATGGGGAGGGGGTAGGGGTTTTAAAGTTTGGCCAAATTCTGCTCCCAACTTGCATTGCTTTTGGTGATAGTACGGTTGGCGTCTATAGATAGAGAGGCTCCGTTGCTGGGAGCGACAGCCTACTAGACTTGCACAACGGTTGAAAACATAGTCCCTAAAAGTTAAAGACGTAAGTGAAGAAGAAGAGTCGAGCACCGGAACATTGCTTATTGTCCTGAGCTTTCAGACTCGTACAAGGGTCCATCGTCAGAGGTAGCGGCGGCAGCAAAACAAGCGACAGTTATAAGGCATGAAGGTCAATCACCGATCGACGGCGCAAGACTGGAGGTGACTACGCAGGGCTCTGTACGCCGGCGCCAGATCGATAAGTCGATTGTCGCTTGTTCTGCTGCTGCTGCTGCTGCCGCCGCTACCTCTGACGATGGACTCCTGTACGAGTCTGAAAACTCAGGACAATAAACACAGTGTTCCGGTGCTCGACTCCTCTTCTTCACATATGTATACACCTGGAACTCGAAATTTCGCCTTCATTAGTCAAAGGCGTGTATGACTTGGTCGTTTTCAACCACTAGTGTTTTAAGAGGCGTGATTTTCTCTTGTCATCATGATCCGGTTAGGAACGAGAAGTGGGGCTGCAGGCAGCCCTACCCGTTACCGACTAGTCAGATTGCAAGTTTTATTGATGTCTGTTGGCTCGTCCATATACTGCAGACGTCTGCTACAGCGGACCCCGTTCGCTCAAGTAGCTGACCGTGGAAGAAGCGCATGCAACATCCATATGCGGAGTCGCGATGTCCCTCATTCTCAGAGGCGCAACTTCAAATACGACGTTAGTCCCGGATTGCATTCCTGCGGCCACTAGCTTTCCCCTCTGCCTACACCAGATATGCTATCTCGTGAAATGTTAACCGGAAATCTGAGATGCATTCACAATTCGAAAATATTACCCAAAAAGGTTGTTCTATCAAGTATCGTGTCGCATTATATTAAGATATTCCAGTCACACAAGGGTGCCGGCTTTTGAACGAGCTCCTTATCGACCGCCTGCATCAACCAAGTTCCGCAAAAATGGCTACTTAGGTGACATGAGTTTTTCAAATTTAATTTTCGATACCCTTATAAATTCAAACGTATTTTATAGAAAACACGCACAACATATTCATTCTTCTGGTCATTTGATAGCAGACTACGCCTTCTTCAAATTTTATACTCGGAAATAGAATATATCTCGGTTTTAAAGTGCTTTCTCAATTTCCGAATAATTTTGAGCCCAACCTGCCGTCACACTTGCATTCAGGGTCCCTAAACTACAAGCTGGTACACCTTTCGTTTAAGGAAAGTCGTACATTTCTGCATGCCATTATGAAGAGGACGTATGGGGCATTAATGAACCTGTTAAGGAATCCATTGGGCGTTTCACGGTCTTGAAAAATCGCACAATTAAAAGTTTCTTTAAGACCGAAAGATACTCTTTCTTCAAGTATCGCATTTGAAGAAGACGTGGTTTTCTATCAAATGTCCAGAAGAAGGAATATTTTTGAGGATGTTTTCCATAAAATATTTTCAAATTTGTAGGGGCATCGAAAGGTAAACATGAAAAATTCATGCGTTTTGCGAAATCTGTTTTAGGCAGGTGGTCGATATGGAGCTCGTTCGAAAGCCAGCATCTTGGCGTCGGTGGGATATGTCGGTATTATGCGACACGATGATCAACATAACAGTCCTACTTAATCCTACTTAAGTAACCATTTTGCAATGAAGAAACATTTCCGAATTTCGGTTAACATTTCATGACTTCGCACATCTACTGGGCCTTCTTGCTATCCAGCTTTTTATAGACGACATGAATGAGTCCGAGGTACTACCTCAGTCCCTCCTGTTTGCCATTGAATTCCAACAGGGCGAGTGTGAGCCCAGCAATTCGTGAATGACTGCCCCATCTAGCTTTACGGCGGTTGGCGGGCAGCGGGGACCCGATGAACCTCCACTCGGCGGCGTCGATGACGTGGCGCTGAGATTGCATCTGTCGACCGTCTGCACATACTTGTAGTTCTGCTCACAGATGTTGGTCAGAGGCTGTAGCTGCCTGCGGACGGCATGAAACGATTGCCCACGATAGGACAATGAGCTCGTGGCTCAGTGGTTAGAAGCATCGGACTTCTAACCGGTCGCGGGATCGAGCCCCAGGTGTTCCACACTTCGGGGTTGGGCATGACTGGCTGACGACGGCTTCCGTATGTCAAGAACGTTTTGGAAGCTGTCGGCCGCCTTCTCGCACCACATGGGGTTGGAATTGCACACAGACCGGAGGCAACTATCAGGCATCAGATAATGAAACCGAAAGGCCCACTGCCACGGCTAGAAACGTCTGGAGTCGTTTATAGGATCTGGTGCAGTTTCGGACAAAGCAACTACGTCAGAGAAACCGGATGAAGGCTCAGAACGAGAATGGTCGAACACGCCGCGGCGGTGTGGAGAAAGGACGCTAACTCTCAAGTCGCGGCTCATTCGACGAGATCCGGCCTCACATTCAAACTCGACGAGGCCGAAATCCTCGCTAGGGGTGACAACCGTGCGAGCCGGGAGCTGCCTGAGTCATGGCTTACTGGCCCGCAGTCCATTAACAAGTGCAATGATCTTCCCCTCCCATCCTCGGTGCTGAGACTTCGCCCAGGCGGGGTAATTAGCCACGCGGAGAGCGGACAAGTGAACACTCGTCCCAACGCCAGGGTCGGTGCGTCAGATGGTCGAGCAGTCATCACACCAACATCCAACGCACGTGATGAAATTACAGCAATTAACGACGCGAATGTCGGCCATCAAACAGTCAGCACACCAAGTCCAACAATCCCTGATGAAGGGGGGAGCCGTGAGTATTCATAGGTATGCGATAGCATGGCGACTGCATACTATAAATACTGCAGCCCCTTGTGAATGAACCATCCGTATCTGTTTTTGTCTTTGATGATGGGTTCGAGCAGGAATCCGAAACGTCAGGCTAGTAAAGCTCTTTTCCCAGCAATCGTGTCTCATTCTTTAAGACTGCATCCTGGGACTCGTCTCTTCGCTTCTTTTGGCGACGGCTAATAAGCCAGAAATGGCCAGTCCAGTCACTCTTGTCTTTGGCGGTAACAACATTGCCGCCTCATCCGTCCTCAGTCTGTATCGGGCACTTATTTACTACTATTGACCTACGCATATTGTGCGCACTCCCTGGAGAGACGGTCGTTTGCTCCAGCTACCTCTAAAATCAAAGGTTAACTCTGTGAGAACCAAAGTCTGCCCTGTTCTGTGAATGGTCGCAATATATCCACGTCCACTAAAGTTAGCAAGTCGGGTTGCAAACGTGTGGGTCGTTCTGCAAACATTTTCAAACCAGCCCCGCCTCTTATCTTAAGTTCATAATGAAAATATGCAAACATTATCCAGCTCAAAGATTGATGATTGACAGCCCTCGCCCTCAGAAAAAGTTGTGTGAAAAATTCGTTGTATTAAACTGTGAAAAAAGGGAGTGGTGAGAAGGAGCCTTCTGACGCGTAACTTTAGGTAGCGCGCACACTATACTTCTTCCTTGTTCCACTGATTTTGGACCAAGGCCTCTACGTTTCTGAAATCCGTCAGTCCACTTGTACTAAACTTACATTTCGGGCAACTCAAAGTCTGTCGTATCTCGTATCCGAAGGTCGAAGAATGTTGGATTTTGCAGCTTGAGAAACTCGCCATCTAGTTTATCTCTAATGGGGGAGGGAAGTTAATGAACGAACCGATATCTCACCTCTCGACTGCAATCTCTGCTTTGGTTTTGGCTAGTTGGCTCTCTAATTCCTTTTCTTTCTCCTGGTTTGTCAGGAAGGATTTCTGTAACCTAAAAGAGAGACAGATATTTGGTGAATACATAACCCTACCCATACTGAGTGAGAATAAGGTGTGTTTGCGTCCGCTTCAGCGTTGGCTGTTGTTTAAAGTGGGGCCTTTGCCAATCACCTGCAGCAACACTCTGCAACTGTTTATAGATGTACAAGGCGGACATTAAGGCTTCTTGGACCTGCCTTGTCGTATGATCATCGCCCCGGCCCACAATCTCAACGGCGTCAAAGTTGAAGATGTGTCCCATTTGCCCAGCATGCGTTGGTACAGTGAGTGACCTATCTCATGAAATGTCAG